ATCTTGATAGCAGCAAGGAGCAGTTCAACAATAGGCTGACCAAGAGCAGAATGACTGTTGAGTGTGCTTTTGGATGTTTAAAGGCCTGCTGGCGCTGCCTATATGGGAGGCTGGACCTGGCCGATGATAATATTCCTATGCTTATAGCTGCATGCTGTACGTTCCATAATATTTGTGAAGGGAAAGGTGAAAGCTTCACTCAGGGCTGGACCGCTGAGGCTCAGCGCCTGGAGGCTGAATTTGAACAGCCAGACTCCAGGGCTATTAGAGGGGCGCAGTGCGGGGCCATAAGGATCAGGGATGCCTTGAGCCAGCAATTTGAAGCTGAAAGACACTAATATTTGTTGCTCTGCTCGGGAGGGCAGTGGTTGTAATGCTAGGAGGTGATTGTGATTGGTGCAGACGATGCACTGTGAAGGTTTAAGAAAACTGCCTGTTGCTTTGCAGGTCTCTGTTTGCTTTCAATTAATGAAATAAAGACTGCTTTCAAACCAAAACAATTCTTTTATTAAAAAAGAACAACCAGATGAGAGAGACAAACAAAAAACCACAGCAGCACTATGGAGAATGGGGGGAAGGGAAGGTCCCAGGAGGTGGTGGGGTCCCAGGACAGTTAAAGATTTGTGTATGTCCAGGTATCATATGCAACGCTTGTCCTTTGGAGTACAGTGCAGCGGGTACTGTACTTCAGCAGGGCTAAACTGCAGAGGGACGGGTGTTGAGTGCAGTGGGTACTGGGAGTCCGCAGGGCTGGACTGTGACGGGGCAGGAGTGGAATGCCGCGGGTACAGACTGGATCCAGGAGGTTGCTAAGAGTGTGTTGGCGGTGTCGGGGGGCCCATGGGAAAGAGTTTTGTGACAGCGGCTGCAGGAGAGGGTGGGCACGGAGCTGCTCAGTTTGCATTGCTAGTAGTGTCACACCCCAATGGCCCCCTCCCTCAGGGAGTCCCTGGGGAAGGCAGATCAGCACTGTATGTGGCTAACGCTGTTGCAAGCATCGCAAAGCATTTTGGGGAGGGTCAAAGGTGTGTGAGTGGGGAATGGAAGATTCCTTTGCAGGAGTACGAGAGGCCAAGAAGGGGGGGGAAGAAAGAAAAAGCAGAGAACAGGTTAACTCGGCACTTTATCTAGCTCCGTGTGAAGATAAGATGCTGGCCCCGGCCCAAGGTCATGGGCTCGACGAGAAAGCTACAGATGAGAAATCTACAGCTGCCCCGTCGTGAGATGAGGAGAACTAAAGGGAGCAAAGCTGCAAAGATAACAGCAAAAACAGAGCGAATGAGGCAGCGACGGTGAAGGCCAACAGAAGGGAAAACAAAGTCTCCGGACCCGGTGTGTTTTGGGCAGCTGAGAAGGCCACAGCAAGCCGATTAGGATTGGTACAAAGAGCACCAGGCACAGTGGGCCCTGGGCGATGACACCCCCAAAGGAACCCAGGACTTAAAAACCTGCCCGAGAACTGGAGCAATTCGGAGATTACACTGGATTCCCCAGACGACCTGGGCCCAGGGCAAGAACTCCCGTCCACCCCTCCCCGTCCTCTTCTTACGTTACACCCAGGCCTGGCCAGTTTTGGGTACTGCGTGTGTGAGTATGAAAGTGGATTAGGGCTTGGGGCTCTAATGCTTTCTTTCTTCCCCTGAGTGACGTGGGAGCATTCCCAGCACTCTCTGCTGTATTTTATTATTTTATTAATAAAGCTTTAAAACTTAGACCCTGGGTGTGCTTCGTCATCTCCTCCCTGAAAAGATCCTGAAGCTTCGTGGCTTCATTCTGATGTGCCACATTCTCCTTTCAGTCCCTCTTCTCGCTGTCCCGCCACTCCTTCAATTCTTGCTTTTCGGCCGCAGAGTGCATCATGACATCACGCCGAAAGTCCTCTTTAGTTCTCGTGGCCACTTTCTAATTCTGCGTAGCCGTTCAGCCGTGACAACAAAGAGGGAGGCTGGGCTCCCAAGGTCATATCTGTGAAGCCAAAATGCAATATTTTACAGAAGCAGTATTGTTTGCAACACACAGACCACTGATTCAATGATTTAAAACACAGCCACTATTGACATACCTGTCACTAACTGGCTGACCCCAGGCAAGCACACAGGAGCCTCAAATCCCCCAAAATGGTCAGAAACCGCAGGGGCAGGGGCAATCAGTGTTCCAGGACCCTACAGTACACTAGGCATATGGCTCCTGGGGAGAGACAGCACTGTAGACAGGGCCTTATAATCATTACTGTCCCCACATTTTCCACAGGCTGTATTCTTTATGGAAGATACCTCGCTGCTGAGGGTGAGCAGGGAATTAAGGGAGGGTCTTCTCCATGACTGCAGCTTCCGCCCTGGCCCTTATGCAGCTTGCCTATGTGCAGCAATGGTCTCCCCCTCTCACCCCCCCAGTGATGGCAGAGTGGCATGGGAAAGTTACCCTTAATGGGGCAAGAAACAAAGCAGCTCTGTTCCCGAGGAACCTGTGGCAGCAGATTGCCCAGTATCTCCATGAGAGTTTTGTGGAGATCTCTGAGGCAGATTCCCATGAAGTGAGGGAGTCAATCAACACCCTGTTCCTCCGCTCAGACTAGGCATGTGGTGGTACGTGCATCATACAGACACAAGCCTACTTTCTGCAACCCTCCTGCCCCCAACAACTTGCTTCAGCGATTCCCAAAATCAAAGCCACTTACCAGGGGCCTCCTCTCCTGTTCGCGCTTCACCACACTCCGACAGCTGTGACTGGCTAGCCTCCTCTGGGGTAGAGAAGAGCGCCTGGCTGCATGCATCTCTGACCTCCGAGTCATCCTCTGCCTCTGGGTCCCCTCCCCCTCCATGTCCTCATCCAAGATTTCCTCCTCCTGGCTCGGTCCACTCTCGACTGGCATATGAGCCACCGAAGTATCCACAGTGGTCTTTGCAGTGGAGGTGGGATCGCCACCGAGTATTGCATCCAGCTCTTTGTAGAACCGGCAGCTTGTGGGCGCAGCACCGGAGCGGCGGTTTGCCTCCTGCGCCTTGTGGTAGGTGTTCCGCAGTTCCTTCAGTTTGTCCCTGCACTGCAGTGTGTCCTGGTTATGGCCACTTTCTGTCATGCATCGTGAAATCTGTCCATAGGTATCATAATTCCTACAGCTGGACCACAGCTGGGACTGGACAGCCTCCTCTCCCCAAATGCTGATGAGGTCCAGCAGCTTGGCATTGCTCCAAGCTGGGGATCGCCTGGTGGGTGGAGCGGGCGTGGTCACCTGGAAAGATGCGCTGAGACCACTGCACGCATCACCGAGCAAACAGGAAGGGGACTTTCAAAATTCCCAAGGAATTTACGGAGTGGGGCTCACGGTTGGTCACCTGAGGGCAGGGCAGTAGAATTCAAACCGATGACCAGAGAGGCGAGAACAGGCATTGTGGGACACCTCCCGGAAGCCCGCTGTAATCAACCAGGGTGTCTACACTGACACCGCAGCGCTGTAGCCCCAGTGCAGAAAGCCTCTCATCGGGGTGGTTTCCGTGCACTAAGTGGCTTGGCAGTGTGTTAACCTCGGGAATTACACCGCAGAATCTTACCAGTGTAGACAAGGCCTTATTTTGTTTAGAATAAATTAATTAAAATAATGTAAACTAATCACAATAAGCCCCTCTTAAACCAAACTATGAGTGTCCATAGCAGGGTTTACATCAGATTAATGACAGTGGTTTAAAAACTGATTTAAATTAAATAGGGTTACCATACGTCCGGATTTTCCCGGACATGTGCGGCTTTTTGGGACTCAAATCCCCGTCCGGGGGGAAATCCCAAAAAGCCGAACATGTCTGGGAAAATCTGGAGCCGCTGGGTGCTGGGCCGGGGGCCGGGCCCGGGGGTGCTCGGCCAGGGGCTGGCCCGGGGCCGGCACCCCAGGGCCCGAGCCGAGCCAGGCTGGAGACGCCGGGGCCGGCCGCCGGAGGGAGCTGCTCCGTTGGGGGGGCCAGACTGGGCCGCGCCTCCTCCCCCGCCCCCCCCCCCCAGCTTACCTGCTGCCTGCTTCAGGCTTCCCGCGAATCAAATGTTCGTGGGGGGGCGGGGTGGGGGGGGGGATTTGGGGGAGGGGGTGGAGTGGGGGCGGGGGCGTGGGGGGGGCGGGGCTGGGGCCCCGTGGAGTGTCCTCTTTTTGGACACTCAAAATATGGTAACCCTAAAGTTAAATCAATATAACTTTCTCAGGTCGAGAACCTCTTCCTAACAGGGGCTCAGGGCTGCCCGGGGAGGGAGGGGCTTGGGCAAGTGGGGCAATTTGCCCCAGGCCCCACAGGGGCCCCCACGAGAATATAGTATTCTATAGTATTGCAACTTTTTTTTATGGAAGGGGCCCCCAAAATTGCTTTGCCCCAGGCCCCCTGAATTCTCTGGGCAGCCCTGCAGGGGCTTGCCCGGGCTCATCTAAAACTGTTTTTAAAAATGGATAAATTAGCCAGGTGCAACTTTGGATGAAGACCGGGACATGGGTAAAAAAAAAATTCAACCTCCTGCCTCCCCAACAGGACCCTTATCAGACCTTGATTTATACAAATCAAGCCAGACGCCCAGTTTGAAACAGAAAAATATACTCAGTTGCAGGTTGCCTGTGCGCTGCAGCCCCTGGCAGCGCTTTGCAGGAGCGGGGCCCGGGTCCTATTTGGTTCTTTCTCTTACTTTATCCCGTCTCTAAGCAGCATTTCCTCACTCATCCTCGGTGGTTTTATTTGTTGAAGAGCCTTCTGTGGGGCTGGACAGCGCCTGGCCCCAGGGGCCCGCCCGGCTGTCCCCAGCTCCCTGCCCCCCATACACTGTCTCAAACCCAGTAATCCCAATGGCCTCGCGCTGCACTTGAGGGCGAAGGGACGGGACTGGGGGGAGGGGGGAGGAGGAGGAGAACAAGCTCAGGGGCGGGGCCGGGAGAAGGAAGCCGCGGCACGAGCGGGAGGGGCGGGGCTGCCGCTCGATTGCTCCGGCTCCGTCTCTCAGGCGATCGATTCATCCTGGCTCCACTGCGGCGGGCTGGCCGTGCGAGAGGCGGAGGCGCTGCCGGGAGGGAAGCTGCCCAGCGCTGGTTACAAACACCGCGGCGGCCGGTGAGTGACGCCCCCCCCACCCTCGCTCCAAGTCAGCGCGAGCCGGCTCTGACCTGCCTCCGAGCTGCGGAGCAGCCCCTCCCCCCCCCCGCCTCTGCGGCTCCTGCCCCCGGGGGGTGGGGGGGGGCGGGTCTCACTGCGGACCCGCCTTGCCTCTGCTGCCGTTCATAATAACGATCCGGATCGGGCCGTTGGGACCCGCCCGTTATCCTGCCCCGGCTGGGCGCTGGCTCTGTGCGGGGGAGGCCAGCCCCCCCCCAACACTGTGACGGGGGCGCTGGGGCTGCCGGAGGCTCCGCTTCTCTCTGCCCGGCACAGCTGCGCTGGGCCCCACGGGGCTGCGGCCGGCCACGTCCGTGCTGCGGCGGATCCTGCGCAAGGCCGGGGGAGCGCAGGTTACGGCTGCAGTACGCGGGGCCCGGGTCAGGGCGTATTCGGATCAAGCACTGTCATTTGCAGTGTGGACGCGGCCCAAGCCGCAGGCCCGACTCAGAAGGTCTGCGTAGTAGTGCATTAGTTAGCACGGCTGTGAGGCCCGGGTCCGGCTGTGGGACCCACATTTGCAATGAGCGCTGGCTTGGAAACACTGGGTATGTCTACACTGCAGTTAGGCATCTGTGGCTGGCCCTTACTAGCTACTCATGCTGGTGGGGCTCCTGCTAAGGGGCTGTTTAATTGTGTTGTAGATGCTTGGGCTGAGGTCTGGGACCCTCACGGCTTGCAAGGTCCTAGAGCCTGGGTTGCAGTCCAAGCCCAAATGTCTACACTGCAATTAAACAGCTCTTAGCCTGAGCCCTGTAAGCCTGAGTCAGCTGTCAGAGGCCAGCCACAGATGTCCAATTGCAGTATAGACACACCCACTGAGTTCACAAGCCCAGGTCCCACAGACCTGGGTTTACAATGCAGTATAGACATATCCTTATAGCTGGCCACATAATCATTGATATTTTGTCATCTTGGCCACTGACCAATGTGTTGCAGAAGCTACCTGAAGGATGCAGCTGAGGCTGCAATGTGCTGTCATTTCTGTGATGCTTCCAACACATTCCTGTTCACCTGCTTGATATCAAATATTGGAGGTCGATATTAAAAAAAACCACATTTTTCAATTAAATGAAAGCTCTTGTTCAGTTTTTATTATGTCTGTGTCACTACAGATGTATTCTCCACTGAAGAGTGAAATCATTGATACTAAGACTTTACATTCTAAAGGCACCATAAATACTGTAAATGGGCAAGTAGTGGTATTTGCTCTTCATTGTAAGCTACAGTTGAGGAGTACTCGATTGTACTTCCACACTTCGTGCAGTGGCATGGGGAGCCTGGAAATCTTCAGAGCCCTGGCTCTGCAGCAGGGAGCCTGGAAGCTCTGAAAACTCCAGCTCTCAGGGCTTCCAGACTCCCTGGCCAGCTGGCTGCCTGACCCTCAAGGGATCTGACTTCTTATGCTGGGGGAGCGGGGCAGCCCAGTGAGCCAGCTGGTCCAGGAGTTTTGAAGCCCTGAGATTCCTGGCCCTTGGGCAGTCTGCATCCAGGCCAGGGTGTCCAGCAGCTGCTGATATGATTCATGTCAGTTTCACTGCTGTCCACCCTTGAATAGCAGTGGTGAAACAATCATGTCCTTTTTACTGAGCAGCTGTGGGGATCAGGGAGCATATTTTGTTTGGGAAACACTATTTTTCGGGGGGAATTGGTTTCAGTCTGAAGTGGACCAAAACCAAATTTTGAAATGAGGGCATTTCCAGTGAAGCAGAATTTCAATGAGCTCTGCTGCAGAGGGGTGTGTGAGAATTTTTTTGGATGAAGCTGTCAAGATAAACATGGTAGTAGCCCTGTATATTCTTTGCCAAGTGTATTAATTAGATTATATCCTTGATGGCAGGTGAGTTAATTAGCATATTTTGCTTGCTCTAATAGCATCATTTAAATGTGCATACTTTTTAAAAGTCCTTCAAACTTGGCTGTTTCATGGCGTTGGTAAATACCTTTTCTTCTGCAAGCTTTATAAAATCTGCTGGGGAGCTCATAGAGTTTTGAGAAGCTTAGAAGACTGTAGTAAATAACTAAAATTAACCATCCATTCATCCAGAAAACATGTTTAGGAAATAATTTTCAGTGAATTAAATAGATGAGTCTTTTAGGCCAGATTACCTTTTAATATAATTCCCCTTCCCCAGTTTACAATTTTTCAAAATTTAAGTGGCTTCTTGTCAAAGTACTGCATTTCTAAAATGCTATATCTAATTAACTCCAGATTTCCACACCAAAAAGTGATGTTGACAGGAGACCACACATGACAAATTTCAGGCAGAAAGCTACTTATCTAGCCAAATTGCTCCCCTATTTTGTGTTACATGCCTGCTTAGCTAGTAGAAGATAAGCTGTTCAAATCATACAGGCATCTATATCTCCTCTTTCCTTTCCAACCACCAATTCACTCCTTGTTACTAAGCTTCATTAAAATCTTGTAAAGCTTTTAATGTTTTGTATTAAATCATGAAATATTCAGAACATTGTGATTTGAAAAGAATATAATACAAATATTGTTCCTCTAATAAATGTAGTAATGTTCATAAAGTTCCTGTCATTTAGGTTACTCCTACACAGCAAATGAAGGTGTACTTTTAATCTAACTAGTGCAGGTATCAATAGTAATAAAGATGTGGCGACATGGCTTTCAGTGCAGGCTACTCGCCACTGTACAACCTTGGTGGGACCCTGGGTAAGCTAGCCCTTGCTGAAGTCTGTGCTGTCATGTCTTTACTACTATTGGTACTCATGCTAGCTAGATTAAAGCTAGGGTGGGTATGCTTTCTTGCTTTACAGCCACGTCTTCATTTGCTGTGTAGATATAACCTCAGAATGTTTTGGGCTTTAAGATTTCTCATGGTCCTAAAACATGTTTACAGAGCAGCATTGACCGTAGCTAAGGCAAAAGCAAACACTAAAGGTTTTCAGATTTAAAATATACTGACAGTCTTGCCATAGTCCAGATTTAGAAATTTCTTTATCTGGTTGTATTTATATATTCCTTTCTGTGTTGGACCACTCAGCATAGTGAATTTGATCCAAAGTAGTAAATAAAATAGGTGATTAGACGAGAGAGTCTACGTCATGAATCCTATCATGATGAAAATTGCAAAAAATAAGCAGTGTGTAACACATTCAACTAATTTTTAAAAAATTATTTAAATAATTATGAAGTCAGGGACTTTAAGGAAGCATATTTTCAAAAAACATAAATCAGATTTAATTTCAATCTTATTTTAAATATATTTCTACTTATGCAGAAATCTGAAAATATCAAAAATCCTGGTTTATCGCTAAAATTCTAAATGTAAAGATAGAAGGTTGAATGTGAGAGATGTTTTTAAAGTTGCATTATTTCAACTGCTAAATTATGTCAATTTATGTAAAGCAGCCTGGATTATAATTTACCCTTGCATTTCTATTTCCAGCAAAAATAGGCCTGTAAAGCAAAAAGATTGATACTGCCCAGAGCTACAAACCCTGAAAGGCTAGCATGTATACATATTTTATCAGTTTTCTCTAAATGTATGTTGCTCACAGATGGAGCGACTTCATCTCTGTGCTTCTGCTTTCCTGGTTGTTATATAGGAATAAAGATACTGACTGCCCTGAAAAGCACGTTGAGATATATTGATGAAAAATGCTGTGTAAAAGCTAGTTGTTGTTATCGTGCAGCCTTTATCCATATGCTTTTTCTAAAAATTGGTGGTTTGATCCAACGGACTGGTTCTTAGATGAGGTTTGTCATCATACGATGATGTATCCAACAGTGTCATGTAGCGACAATGAACCAGATCAAACCATTCCCATGATAAACCCTGTGAGAGGAGATCCTGAGGAAGAAATTTTCTTGAGGATCCCTCCACTGTTGGGAGGAGGTGACTTTTTTTCTTCCTCAAGAAAAAGCTTTTGTGCCCACCTTCCCCAAATCTACTGGATCCCCAGGGCCATCTGTTTGGAGGTCCAGAGTTTCAGGCCCTAGCTGACACATCTCTAAATATACTGGTGGATATGGAGAGAAATTATGTTCATCCACCACTAGCCTTGCCTCTGGTCCATCCACACTTTCCCCCTCCATTCTGGCCTACCTACTTCACTCCTCACTTGCAGTGTGCATTGTGGGCTCATGGATTGCCTTCCACAGTGAAAGCAAAATGGTGCTGTGGGAGGGAGGAGAACTGCCCTGGGAGGGTTCCCTCTACATGTTGATTGTGGGGGATGATCTAGGCAGTGATTTTAATATCATATAAAGTAAGTGTGATTAAAAATAAAAAAATGTTTTTTTCCTTGGATATTAGGTAGTGCATATACATAGTGGTAACTTTTCAAAGTTAAAGACTTAGAGTTCACATCCCATCCTCCTAACCTTAATGTAGCCAAAGGCACTAGTCTGTGTTTACAGCTGACAAACTATCAGTTGCAAAAATAAAACAGATTTCAAATTGAAGTATAAAAGCAATCTGAAAATTAATCGGTTTGTTTACATTTCTGTATCTCAAAAACAGTGGCAAGTTCCCCCAACCTCAAAATTTGATAGAGGCAAAACCACCTGTCTTCTGGGATCTCATGCCAAAAGTCAGCCTTGGATACACTTTTTAATGCTAGATTACAAATTCCTGAAATTAGAGGTTTATAATGGAAAGGCTCAATTTACCTATAGAATCTTAACATCCTAGACGGCATATCAGTAACATGCTTAAAACAAACAAAATAAAAAACAACACTATATTCCTCACCACTATATTTGATGTATTATATATTTTTTTAGGTCAAAACTGGAGTAAATATATTTTTAAAATACTAATTTTTAGACTATTAATGGATGAGTCTAAGGCATCTTCTTCAGTAGGAAACTGAATAATTTAAACTCTGTTTTTTTTAACAGTAGAGATAATGATATGATGCTGACTGTTCAATGTAGATAAAAACAAGTTGTGGTCAGCATTGTCAGGTAGTCATGGTAACCCTTC